TGGCATTCCAGATCCTTGTGGAACCACAAGGCTGAACCACGCTACCTAAACCTATATCAAACACACAGCTAAAAACTGCCAAGGGAGAAAAGCAACCTATAGTGCAACAATCCACTGCAGGTTCATCAGCTCTCACTGGGGACTGTTGCACATGATCCTCACAATGGTTAGTGATGGGAAACGGGTTGGGGAGCTCCAGCAAAGAGTGTCAGCCACAAGTCACCACAGAACTTCTTTCTTCCAGAGCTGTTTTGGCTTGAGTAAGTGCTTGGCTTTGGCCATGCAACATTACCACAATCAGATACGCCGGAAAGAGGGATCATAATCACCAGCAGTGAATAGCGTTCTGTCTAAAAGTAGCAAAACTGCAAAAATCTCAGATACCATCTACCACAGGACACCACAAGGTCCCCTAAGGTAAAATAGATCTTAGCCTTCTCTCCCAAACACATAAAACCAGAAATAGTTTCTAGCTTCTTTTTTGTTTTGAGAGAGATATTTTTTTTCCAGTGATACAAACTGCTTGCAGCTTTTTCCCAGTGAAACAAACTATTTTATAACAGTTGCTCCCCCCTCTCCCCACCCTGGGATGCCATATATTTAAAAAAAGGACCTATTTTCAGTGGTAGAAACCACTAATTATGATTTTATTTTTTATTTTAGATTTCAGAACCAAGAGGTCTGGCTATTTGCTAAGATTTTCTAGGATCGTTATCAAAAAATGAATTATTTTATGGTTTGTTTCATGTATAAGGGCTAGATATTTCTGCCTCTGACTAAAATCAAACAGATAGGAGGAAGGAAAAGTCATAGCAAACAAACAAACCAAACCAAACTAGTAAGAAAAGCATAAAACCCTTCAAAGCACATTGCACATGCTTGGCAGAGCCCATTTGGTCTTTTAGATACGTTTGGACACTACCTCAAGTGAGAGCACAGATGATATGGGACTCAGGAGAGGACTCTCTTTGGAGGTATGAAATTCTGTATTTGCATCTAAAATTATAAGCAAAACAGCAATGGCTCTCAACATGGTCTACAACAGTAGTGAATTGAAAATAGGAATGGAAGGGGAAAATTGTATGAATTTTGTCCACATTTCTAACCCACAAAGCTAGGGAGACAGGGCAATGTTTCTACTGATGGCTAGAGGCAGGCCATGCTGGAGCCAAAAAGACAAAAATTAGAAAAATACAAAGAGGAAAAGAACTGGTCTGACCAATCTAATTCATACCTTACTCTTTTGATGTTCCTATATGTTTCTTTTTGAAAAGGAGGAAAGTCTACAAAACTGTAGGGAGGAGCTCTAATCCATCAAGGGGTCCAACCAGGTTGTAAAACAGCTCACAGATTGCTCAGGCTTTAGAGCTTGCTGGACTTTGGGTACCCGATTATCCTGGAGGAAATAAGTGTTTAGCTTCAGGATTAAAATAAGCAGTTGGGGAGAGGATAAATAAGGCATCAGCTGACAATAAAAGCCATCAGGACTCTGCTATACAGCAGGAGGACTGGTTTGGTTATGCAAATACAGGCAACAAACATCAAAAACTTTGACTTTAATAATGGTGAGGAAATCTGGTGGTTTTTGATGGCAATCAGCTATTGCCTACCCTCCCACTCAGTTTTGTCTTCTTTACCTTGTGTTCACCTATTTCATAAAATCCATTTGTATTTGCTCATTGTTTTAAAGTTATTAGATGGAAAGGAACTGGGAAGGAGGTTACTGTGTGAGGGTGGATAGTTTTTTGGTGTAGTAGTTTGTTTTGTTTGGATTTTGTTTTTGTTTTTTGTTTTTAAGTGAAACTGAAATGGGGCTGGAGTGTGGGAAATTCCTTCCCTCAGCAGTCACTTAACAAGCTGGTCATTTTTTACCTACTTTGGGTGGGTGAAAAAAACTGTCAAAGAATTTGAAAGGAAAACACTGCAGAAAGTTACTAATTGAGAAAGATCTTTGGCTTTCATTTTCCAACTAATGAAAGCAAAGTTTATTAATCATTATTTGAGATATCGTTTCCTAAAAAGGCTGCAACAAGTAAAGCTAGACAGACAGAAGATAATGCTGGAAAATACTAAGGTACGGAAAAAAACCCAAAACCTCGATACCACAACTCTGTCGACAGTCAACATTTCCAACACATGCAGTTTTAATTTGCATTTAATTTAGGAACATAAGATTTACTATCATGATTTAACCATTAATCAACTAAACTAAGGAGGATCCAAATATTCTTAAAGAACAGCACACACACACACACGCTATTGGATCTTCTTCCTCCTGTTTTCAGACTTTTCCTGTTTTAAGACTTTATTTGTCTTACAGCACACCTTTATTTCATGCATGCAGTGTTTGCTGTGGTACCATTGCAGTCTTACCAGTATTATAGCACCCAAGACCACAAGAGTGATGAGGGATCCAGACTACCTACTTCACAGTACTACCAAAGCCTGACTGCCTCTACAGTCAGGAAAAGGAGGAATCTGCAATAGCTGAGCTGGGCATCTACAACCAACAGCCTGAATGTTACTCAAAACATCACAGGCTATCAGTGCAGAACCAGCTAGTCTGATCTCAATGTAACACAGCTCACTCTTCAATTGCTTATGTTTTAACTTACACCATCTGCTCAGAAATCCAGTTTACGCCTAGAAATAACAACTCTTATATAATTACACTGATAAAAATGTATGGTCTGGATTTTTTCAGCCAAAAAAGCCAGCCAACCTTTTAAAGAACTTTCTATTCTTCATACAAGTGTTGGTGGGGAAGGAAAAAAAAAAAAAAAGGAAAAAAAGAAAAGTTTACTCTGCTTTTTCGTGACTGGTCTCCGTGCGTCCATGGCATTTCCTTAGCTGCTGTTAATTCAGTCAAGCAACTTCAGATGACGTCCGATTTCTTGTGTTTGGATCCAACTCCTAGAGTACCCTCAAAACCATGGCTTAGATCTGCTTTGCCTGTACGTAACTTTTGTCTGGCTGATGGCTTCAGTCCTTCCAGACATGCTATGCTGCTCCCTGCCTCTCTGCTCTGCCAGGGCCAGGTGGAGCTCTGGGAGACATTCCAGCCCAGCCAGCTGTGCTGCAGCAAGTCTCGCCAGGTGCCTGATCGGCTCAGGTGAAATATCCCCCTCCAAAATGGAGGTAAAGCAGGTTAAGGCAATTCTTTTGTCAGAATTCACTAAGCTCTTCAAATTTTTAAGCAACCTGAACTAGTGTAACGGTTCAGATTTCCAATTTAGGCAACACCCCCATTTTTGCAACCTTTTCCACTTCTGATTCATATTACCTTTTCCAGAAGTATTTCCTGCTCTTCTTCCAAAATTAAGTTTATTTCAACAGTAGTCAAATCTATTGCCTGCATCATGATTGCAAATGCTTATTGTGTGGCATCCCACATTGCGAGACTGGGCTCTAGTATTTCACAAACTCGTAATAAGCATAAGCACAGCCTAGACAATATTCAGGTAAAATATTTAAAAAAAAAAAAAAAAAAAAGTTAAAAATGGCTGGAAGTTGATTTAAAATATTTCAAAACTGATTCTCAAGTACCATATGAGTTTTCTGGCCCCTAACCAGACTGCCATTAGAAAATAAATCCCAGTCTAGTTCTTTCCTACTTTTTTTGCCTGGAAAAAACCCCAACCAACCAAACAAGGAAAATCTGGAATATGCCTGTGAAAAGGAAAGCACATTTGCATGTATACTGGATTCAGTTCCTTACTAGATATGTCTTTTCTTGGCTGGGCAAACATATTTCCTCTTGTAAATGTAAAGAAACCACCCAAGAGCAGCTCACATAAATAGTGCACAAGTAAGCACAATGGGCTCAACATCCTGTAAGCAAAACTCTTTACTCTGCTAAGCTGAAGTTTTTCCAGTTTTTGGCAGAAAGATCATTTTAGAACTCCAATAAATGTACATTAAAGTCATAAGCCTTTTCTGAGCTAAAGATTTACATGGGCCTCCTTTGTGTCAGCCACAAAAGTATTTTAAGAGTTTGGAAATTCTAGAAGCTTTCCTCCTGCCTTACTCAGCCACTCAAGCTTGATCCTCATTAAATCCCCTGACATGTAATATATTCCAGTGTACAAGAAGCCCTTCATTACTTCTCCATGCTTAGGAGGTAATAAACCCATTTCAAAGGATGGAAGCAGGAACTATTGCAGGTGTTTCCTTACCACTCCATGCTGAGCCAGGAGGGCTGTGCTAGCGCAGCTTGAATGAGCCAGCGGCGTGCTCCAGTGAGAACTTGAGAAAAAGCATTTTTAGGCTCCAGTTAGGAGGGATGCTGCTGTTGCAGAAGGTTTAGGACTTTATCTGAAATGCAGGATGGGTGCTGGAGGTACTAATTCCATTTCTAGCTCAGCTACCAGCTTCTGTCACTGTGGAGTCAGCAGGTGCTGGAGCATCTGCCGAGCTGGGCTAGCTGCCACCGCTGCACGCTGAAGACTGCAACTGAGCCTCCAGCTTCTCACACAGCCTTTGCTTCTCCACTTGTGAAATGGTGGGCATGAATTTAAACAGCACATTGTCAAGCTCATTTCATTTAACAAATGCAGTCCTCTGCAATCGCAGGTGAAAGCCATGCCCCAAAAGCTATTTTCCTACCATAATCTAAACAGGAACTATTTTTATTTGTCAAGATTCAGAACAGCTGTGTATCAGACTTCAGCTCAGTACTGGGAATGTTTCTGAAATACATTTAGAGAATGTGCATGTAGAAATACAGATTTCTCTGACACCTTAAACTTCACAGGTTTTTAATGCATTTTCCAAGGAGGCATCAGTATTTTGACTCAGATAACTGGCTGCGTGCACAAGCACATGCATGGCAGTGCTGGTAGAACTGACAAATTTCCAGTAAGAGACCCAGGCTGTTTCAAGACAGGACGAGATTCTGGTTAGTTATACACTCATGGACAAAATAAACATGCATTTGGAGCCTTTAGGCACTGAAGGGACTTGTAGTGGGCTCCTGTTTGTTGGCTGTGGCCCTTTCTTACCTGTGTAATTAGGAGGGCAGAGACAGACATAGTTGTTGATCCCATCCACACATGTAGAGTTATTTTCGCAGTCATTATCTTCACAGTCATCTGGATTTATTTCACACCTCTTCCCCTCATACCCAAGGAGACAAGAACAGCTTTGGAGAAAGGAAAAAATTAATAAAAGTTAGCATGGAGCTGAAGGGGCAGGAGGTTTGAGGTATAAAACTTGAAGTTAAAACATATAAAAATGAGTTGCTGGATCCCAGTTCACTGCTGCTGTGAAGAACGGAGCATGTTAACCCTACGTGCTTGGCAAAGGATGCAGTCTGATGGTTCACGGGGTCATGTAATTATTTACACGAGACTAAAAGCATCAGCAGGAGCCAGCCTCCTTCGTGCTTCCCTCTGCTTGCTTTGCTGATAATCCTAGCCCTGAACTGAAGTAAGCAACTCCAGGGCAGGAGAGCGAGCACTCACCACAATATTCAAACCTTTGGCTTCCCAGTTAATGATTTTGTGAGTATGTGGATCCTTGCCTACTGAGGACTGCACAACCATAGGGCAGTTCCCCAGCTCTTAGGTAGCTCCCTCTCTTTTAAGAACAACGACTTGAATTGAGTTTACAGACATGAACATTTTCTTCTCATTACCACTTTGTCACTTGTCCAAACAAGAGATGTTTGTGAATGACTGCTCTTACAAGTACAGTCAGGTCTCAGTACTTCTACAAGAGATGTTGGAGGAGCTGCACATGAGCTGATGATATCTAGATAATCCACTGAAACACAAACAAGCCATAGCAGACCTAGTAATGGTTCTGTGAAGGTGTGGGCACTCCTGAAGAATAACTGCACTAAATGTTTTCTCTTACAAGACTGTGATGTAGGTCCCTAGAGGTCATGTAAGAAACTACGTGGTGGAAGAATAACTTCATTTTTTTTTTATCAATCTCCATTTCCTCTCTACGTCTAGAAGTTGTGGTTGCTAAGAGAACCTTTATATTTTAAACTAGTTATAAGTGATGAAGAGGTGGAGGCCACAGTTTGCTGAAAGAGTCTAAAAACATCTGTTAAGTGCTCCAGTAATTTCAGTGGCTTCTAAGAAGCCAGCAATGACATCTGAAGTGCGAGTTTTGAAGTGTCAGTATTGCTGCTGACTGATCACAGAGCATGTGTGTGGAAGGGAAGGGTCCTTTCGAGTCTCAGTCCAAACTACACATTCACTCAGCTGTTCATTTCCTTTCCCATGCAAGTTCTGGTGGCAGAAAAGGAACTGAACAAATGTAAAGCACTACTGATTGATGACGATGAAAACCAGAAAGCTCCAGAGCAGTCACGCTAGTTGCCATCCACTGCTTTCTGAAAACAGGAGAGTTTCCAGCACAGAGGTAACTGCAGGGTACATTTTTTTTCAGCTCAGATGGACAAAGTTGACATGGGGTGGTTATCCTATGTAGGTGTCATGGGGTTGAGGTGAGGAATGCCCTGGAGAAATAGGAGATCTTCAGTCTCCTATCGGTGAAGAAAACTGCAGCACTTTTGGGTTGGTTACTCTTAGCATGACATTTGCTTCTCTTCCTACTGTGTGCCACTGACTGAGCAAGGCTCAGGGACCCCCAAGGGAGGATGGCACAGAGCTCTACATCTGCCTTCAGTAGGGACCTAGGTTGGACCCTGAGGATAAGGTTCTTAGATTCTTCATGACATGCACAACCTCTGAAACTAAGGGAATAACAAAGAGGAAGAAAAAAACGGTAAGGAACGTATCTTAAGCTGCCATGACAGTAAGATCTTCTAGATGGGTACAGAACCAGTACACAGGTCACATGTTAACAGTCGTCTTTGGTTCTGCAGGGACCATTTTTAGGTCATGAGAGCTAGAAAACCTTCACTACGAATAACCAAACCCAAACTGCTCAAATAAAGCCAATTTAGGACACAATAAATCAGTAAGAAATATTTTCTTTTCCTGTCTCAAGCTCATTATTGCCAATAAAATACGTCCTCTTGCTGACCCTGCAATGATCCAGGGGATCACAGGAGGCAGATAAGAGGGAAGAGCTGGCACACCATCTTTTGCAACAATGCAAGTGCTGGGGAGGGGGTTAAAGACATCTAATTAAACACAGTGACACATTCATCATGTCTCCCTTTTCCATTACAAAACCCCATTTTCAAGGGTTTATAACTCAGTCATAAAAATATGCTCCAGGCTGCAACTTGGCATCCAAGGTCTCAGTTTGGGAGCACAAATTTTTCTCTCCATTTAAAGAAAAGCAACAAGAGTGGCTTTGTGCTGGTTATTTTTATGTGAATGTAACACCATTTTCTTTCCACAAAAGGACTGGGATGGCTTTGGATGCATGCAATTAAAAATGACATTATTAAATACTATCACAGTAATGGTTCAACTCAGTAGAGTTACCATTAGTAACAATACATATGGGATTGTTAACATACAGTTGCTCAGTATTAGGACACATTCCATACTGAAGGAAATGTCAGCATAATTGATGACATTTGGCTACTAGTCCCTATGTATTATAGGGAGTCTTTACATTATTGGTTACGTACGGTTCTTTATTTTGATTTGCATTCAAATGTGCCAAATGTGAGGACTGAAATTAAAAGATAAAACATACCATTTGGGACCCAGGCTGAACCGTATGTTGAAAAAGTTGAAGTTTGCGACTGTTTGTGTGTGTTTTCCTGGAAAAAGCTTAGAAGAAACATGAAGTCTGCAGAGGGACTGGAAGGTCATCAAACTTGGGTTCCAGGTGACCGAGAGAGAAAATGAATTCAGAAGACAATGCTGAAAAGTTCGTACTGACTGAATGGTGACCCGGTGTGTGGCAGTATGTCACTCGGACCTCAGAGACAACGCAGCCACCCAGGAAAGAACTGTGTTCTAAGGTGCTGTGCTTGCCTAAAGGGCCGAATACCCTATTCCTCCAGTTTAGGGATTTTCTGTTAGTATTTTGATTTCCTAAAAATAAAGAACTAAATAAAACACTATTATCCTCACAGAGGCACATGGGAACACAGAACTTAATGACAACATTTTGGGGGAAAACTTTTGGAGCGGAATTATACTGACAATTTTTTAATTTTACTACATTAACTTTTTTTTTTTAATTTTAGTTTTTTAATTAAACCAGGCATACGTACAATGTATCATGTTTCAAAAAATCAACTTTTAAATATAGATAGTAAATTCTTTCAGGAATATTACAGTTTCTTGGTAAGGGAGCTTTTTGCATTTACATGCCCATGGACTAGCCTCTAAGTCTGGAAGTGCAACGTTTTCTCTTGAGCTAGGCAGAATTAACACAAGGGAGTTAATCAGTTCCAGGATTTTATATTTATGAGGGAACTTAAGGTTTGTTAAAAAATGCTAAAGGAAATGTTCTGGAAAATGGGGGGGGTTTTATATGGAGAAAAGTTAAAATAATCCAGAAACAGTGTTTCCCAATGCTTATCAATGATCAGCCAATTGCCTGTGATGAACAGAAGCAGAGATGACAGCTCTGCCTCCTTTGCCAGAGTCTCACTTACAAGCATGCTAAATGACCAGGACATATCTCATTGGCCACCTTTTTTTTTCAGTCTCAGTGAGCATTTCTTTTTGGCAACCTTTTGTCAAAGAAGACACAGGCTCTGAGCGGCTTGACTTTGTTGGAGATGTCCCTGCTTATTGCAGGGGGGTTGGACTAGATGGCCTTTGGAGGTCCCTTCCTACCCAATACATTCTGTGATTGTAAGACATAGATTAGATTAGAATGAGGAATTCAAAGGAAGAACTTCATGCTTCTAATCCTCTGAGCCACATGATGCCACTTAACTATTCTTTAATACAGAAGTCATACCTACCTGAAAAAAAAACAAAAAAAAAACAAAAAAAAACAAGAATCTGAAAACTACTCAGAACTGAAAAAGTGCAGGAATAAAAGATGCCAAGAAGGATTGAAGAACTCCAGCCAGCTGAACCTTTGCCTTTTGGCTGCCCCACCAAGACCTGCTATTACAACAAATGTGAACCTCTCAGTCCCCTGCTGCTGCGAGCCCTTGTGGGTACCAGGCACAGAGGGCAAGTCAGGCTGGAATCTCAGTCATAACTATGAATTTCCTGCCTTTGCCTAGGGAATATGACCACCTGAGCATTATTTAAAAGGTAATTTTCTTGTCTAAGGCTACAGAAACTTGAGAGTTAAACTGCTTGGCATTTCATAGGGAGCGAGCTTTGGCTTAAGTTTCCTTTTTACAAGAGTAAAGATTTGACAAGTTTGGCAGTAGAGCTTGTGTATGAATATATTTCCTTAGGGAAGAGAATATAAAGAAGATATAATTTCTTTTACAGGCCACACAACAGAAAAATCCAGGGAGGCCCCTCATGAAAATGATTTTGACATCCGCTTCTTCACAGCATACAATCTAAGGCAGTGCTTTCCCATCTCCATGAGCACCATTTATATGCACGTAACTCTGACTGCTGCCATCCACTGGAGAGGAGATCTCCCACCAAAAAAAAACCAACCACCCAACCAAATTCAGTCTCGAAATGTTTCTTTGTCTTCCTTGTCACTGACTATTCCCTCCCCACACCACATTTCTCCATTACATGCTAAAGCTCCACACTTCTCTTTTGCAAAGCAGCTGGGGCTATGGACTGCCTGAATTAAAAACACAGAGAGAAAACAGAGCAATGCACAAGCTGATCATTCAATTTTATGAAGCAGGATTTTGATGAGATATGGTTTTATATGTCTTTTATTAGACCAAGTAAAACTATATAAATAACTATAAAAGGAGATACCTTCCCTAAAAAAAGCCTCAAATGTTGTTATGCAACAAAACCACCCCCGCAGTTTTATAAGGGGTCTCAAAAACAACGTTCATTTGGAACTGAAGCAAAGCCTCTGAAATTGTAAAATTCTTCATGAGAAAAATTCAGAAGTAGATTTCATTTCAGGTCATTCAACCCTTTTTGCTTTCTACTACAGAACAAAACAAAAATGCTAAAGGAAAATACAAGCTGAAGCTTTTCATTCTAGTATTATAGGTATTATAAAATGTTTTACTAGCACATTTTAGTATCAGCTAGATTTTTGAGAAATGAGTACTGAGCAACATAAAACAGATATTCTAATATGGTACAATTTTACTTTGGCAGAAGCTGGAGACCCTGGAATGGGTTGCCTAGGGAGGTGGTTGAGGCCCCATCCCTGGGGGTCTTTAAGGCCAGGCTGGATGAGGCTCTGGGCAGCCTGATCTAGTGGGAGGTGTCCCTGCTCATGGCAGAGGGGTTGGAACTGGGTGACCCTTGTGGTCCCTTCCAGCCCTGACAGATTCTGATCTGTTTTAGCAGAGGACTTTAGAGCCCTAATGGCTCAATGGTTGGACTTGATGATCTTGGAGGTCCCTTCCAACCTAACAGATTCTATGATTCTATGATTATATGAGGGTGACCAGAAGGGAACCTGGACTGAAGACCACCAGACCGTTATTTCTCTCAAGTAGAAACTAAACCTCTACTTTTACTCAAAAAATTGCTGAGCCTGCTAAAATCTGAATCAAGAAGAGGTATATCAGATCAGAGTAGTGGTTTCATCAAAATCTAGGGGCCTGTCAAGCAGCAGGACCCTTTGCATGTGCTATGGGCTGCAAAGATGCCTCATCTTCTCCCACCACCATGCAACCGGTTTGACCCTACAGATGCACCTCCACTCAAGGGTTGTGCTCTTCTGCCTTAGAAAAGGTATCCTGCCATTGGCAGGGGAACAGGAAAGGGGTGATAACCTCCCCCCGCCCCCAACCTCTCACCCAGCCCTTTGTACTTGGAAAAAAATCCTATTTTCAGACCTATTTTAAGATGATATGGGTTTGCTGACTTGGCTAACAAACAGTTAACTTCAGTTGGAACAGGCTTAATCAGAGCTGAAACCAAACTGGAACCAAACTAAAAAAATATACTGTTTTGCTTCCCTGCTTACACCATTTATAAACCCTGAAATTCTGGGTCTCCCTCCAGCTGCTCTCGATAGGAAGCTATGTACAGGAGAAGACAAAGCAGCAGCCTCAGTAATGTGTAAAAGCTTTTAGAAGTGAGGCTTTCATACATGCAATTGAAACAACAGCATGATGTAATTTTGTACATATTTTGTGCAAAAAATAACATAAATATAGAACAAATCTATGAAAATCTCAGCAACTATTTGCTCAAAAAAAAAAAAAAAAAAAATTCTTTCAACTTTAATGACAACTAGTGGCCAAAGACTCAAACCTGTATTTTCTTATCTGTTAAGTAGTGCCTGTAGCAGCACAAATTTCCCAATTACCTCAAGAGAATTTCTGGATTTCTCTTGGAGAACCCCCATCTATGCTAGATCTTTCGTATATGGGAAAATTGAAATCCATAATGTTCATCTGTAAAAATTATTCTTTTGTCCAAGATGCAGCAAACTCTCCATATTTTTTAATTTTTTCTTTGAAGTCTGTTTGTCTACAAGATTCTTCAGTATGAAAACATTTTGCATCTGGTTGTCGAGCGACAGATGCTTACTTTATAAATACAAAAAAGGGTATCTGTGAATTTGATATGCCCCAAGGAAAATTAGCATACAGACAACAATGCCAATCAGGGAGACTGCTCAAAATAGCTCTTAAGAGTATATTCCATTATGAGAAAATAAGAAAGCCTGTTTCTGAGGAAACAATATGTCACAGCAATGAAACCAATTATTCTGCACAGCAAAAAGAAGTGTCACATGCAGTAGCTTTTATAAAGTAGCCATTATAGTTCATTAATGCAAATTAGAAACACATTTAATTTTATAATGTCATTTTAAATTAACTTTGTGTTCCTACCTGAATCCATCTTTATTTGCCTCGGTGAGGTGGCAGGTCCCTCCATTCTGACATGGATTTTGAATGCAAGAATTAATGGGCACACTGCAGTCTCGACCCTATTTGGGAAAATCCAGAAGAAACAAGGTTAGCAAGACTCATGTCATCTGAATCAATGTCTCTTGCTCTCTCACCAATGTCCTTTGCTCTCTCATTCTATGCGTGGCACCATTTACAGGAGGTCTGCGGTCTTCAGACCCATCACATCACCTAATGCCCTTTATTGATGGCCATATGTTCACCAGTTGTGCTGAACCCACTGGTACCAGACCACGACACCAGTTAAATGAGAATTTGGGCAGTGCAACTGTTCTCACCAATGGGACTGGTGGGTATCATAGAATCATAGAATGTCTGGGCTGGAAAGGACCTCCAAAGGTCATCTAGTTCAACCCCCTGCCACAAGCAAGGACATCTCCAAATAGATCAAGTTACTCAGAGCTTCATCTACCTGTTCCAGGGATTTACCACCCTCATATTGAAGAGCTTTTTATCTTGGCATCCTTTCAGTTTCACAATGTTAGTAAACTTTCTCATTTGACTGCTTTAAAAAAACAGCTGGTTTCGTCATTATTCCAAACACTTTAGCCTCTAAGGTTAGTTACAAGGGGGAGCATTAATCATGACCAAAGGTAAGCAGAAGGCCACACACCGTCAGCACATCACCACATAGTCAACACTCATTCAACACGTTTAAACACCGCAATGTGTGCACCATCCACGTTACTACCCATTGTCAAATCCTAAAATGGAAAATTCATTTTTATTGTGGGAGCCGAGTTTGAATTTCTGTAGAAAATACACCAAGCCCTGTCTGAGATATCATCATTAAACTAGTTCCCTTAAAAGATTGCCCTGAAATATACATCAGTTCCAACAGGATTTCACTAGCACTGTTACCAACTGACTTTTTGTTGGCTCTTCAGGGCATAGACATATTTCTCTGACCGTTATATTCTGCTTATCAGAACAAGCTATTTCTAAAATTGGAAAACATATCAAAGGGATTGGTCTTGCTTTTCAGTTACTCACACAGTAGGGTGGAATAAAGACACCTGAAAGCCCCGGTACTCAAGGGACCTGTGCAATCACAAGAAGTTCAAGAGATCGCTCTGTGTCCCGTACTGAAGATCCTGTGAGTAGTGGCGCTCTGCCAGCTCATCTACTGGAAAGCTGATACAGGACTGCAATCAAGATGAGACAAGTACCTCAGGGGATACATTAATTCAGTCAAGGTTGCTGTTTTTGGTTTTTTTTTTTTTTTTTTTTTTTTGCCTTGGTTTACAATACATTATTTACACCGTACTTCAGAGGAATAACAATGGTATTTGTAGGTTTCTAACAAAGAGGGCAGATGCCAGCCTGTGACATCACTTCGTAGCAGCAGGAACTTTGGTGTATTAGGGTTGAACTCTGCCCTACCACTGCCAACTTCCCGTGCTGCCAACACTCATCAGAAGTCATTCCTTTCTCCACCGAATTTGCAACAGCTTCCCACACTTTTCATACCTGGTGTGATGTACTGTATAAATAATAGAGGCAATATAAATTGTCTCTGGAGTGCTTATCTTGGAATTGGTGCAGCCTCAATTAAGCCTGATCAAGGCACTAAACAAAACAGCCATTAAAAAAAAAAAAAACCAGATTAAAAAAAAGTGTTAACTTTTCTATGGAGTTCATTTGACCTGGTCTGTCCACTCATGCTGCCAGGCTCTGCCGTTCACATATCATACAGTTCAGTCCTCCAAACACTACTGAAATCTTCAGCATTTTCTCAGGTAGGACACGCTGCCATCAGGACTGTAATAAGTAATTACATACAGTAATTACACTTTTGTCCACCACAGAGGAACTACCTCACAGAAATGTGAAACGAATCCGCATTTCTTGAGGCTCCATCCCCAGCATTCCCCAGAGAGGAAAAGCAGCTTTGCAGTTTAAAATTTAGGCAAATACAAGGAAATGGAGACATCCCTTTCCTTGGCTGAATCAAAAGAGAAACATTTCCAAGGAGCATGAGCAAGGCCTGGACAAGCCCCTCCCTCACTGAGTTCATTCTCCCAACCCTGCGGTGCAAGCAGCACGTGAAGCCTTCACCCACAACCTGGCAGAGAGTGTTTCTGCTTCATCCCTGCCGCCTTTGCCAAACAGCCTGTCCTTCTCCATTTGAAACTGCAAGCCCCCAAATGTCTCAGGGAAGAATTGGGAGAGCGCCGAGGGAAGCTGACGCAGGTTTTATTTGGCACCATGTGGTCTGCAGCACTCCCCGGCTGCGAGCCACGCAGCAGCAACAGGAATCCGCTGCCACCCTTTGGCAGCTCTGCCTGGGCTTTGTCCATCTGTGTTCACCACCTTACCCTCGTGAGGCTGGAAGATGCCACTTTTCTAAGATCACAAATATTTCTCCTGCCTCCCTGAAGAACTGATTATTTTATGGATACTTGGCTAACATCTGTTATCTGTCATATGAAACTCTGTTTCATATGAACTCTTCATCCCCTTATCACTAAAATATTAAACCCCTTTGCAGCTAAGCACAGCAAGAAGCAGAGCAGGAACCACAGTTATCTATTGTTCTGAAGGTTTTTGTCACAGTTGAACGCTGTGTAAAACAGTCCCATCAATTCTACTGTAATTACTCAAGATTATTTTGAATGTTCTTGTAAAAATTTAATAAAGAGAAATGTTACAATGAGAGCAAGGCATTTTCAGTCTCTCTCACTGGCACATGAAATTTCTCATGACTGAGACTCAGGTCTCATTCCTGTACTGAACATGGCTGAAATATTGGCTTCTTGGGCCTCGGGCACCATGGAAACTGATTAGTATGTGACACTGAATCAGACTTAATTACAACACTAAGTTGTTATGTGGCTTTAGGAAAATTAGAGTCTCTCTGACTCAGTTTACTCATTGTACTAAAGGGGCACATGGCACTTAATCCTTCTCTGAGGATTATCTTCTCTGAGTTGACTTTATCAATTGCACATTGTGAGCCCAAAACCAAGTACAATTTCTGTGATGCAGAAGACTACGAAAAACAAAGAATTCTGAAAGGAGAGAAGCTGCAGAAAATATTGGTACTAATAAATCTACAGCAAAGCAAGGCCATCTTATTTCTGTACAAGACTGTCACTACCCAGAAGAGCCTAAAGACATTCCAGAAACATCTTTCAAGTGAATAATGGAAGTCTCCAGTATCAATATGAAGTAAGACTGTTCTTACTGAAAAATGGAATTGCTGTCAAGCATCACTAAAATTAATTTATCTTTGGGAAAAACTCTTTGAATTACATTCCCTGGAAATAACTATTGTTACAAAGGAGAATATTGTACATTTGCTTCAAGACTAAAGAACCTTTTAAAGACATCTGAACCAGAAAAAGAGGTGCAGAGTCTCTCAAGGACAGGCAGGAAGATAGGACTGTCTCAGCAATTCACAGAAAGAGGATGAAGATCCCTCTGTGTGCAATATTTTATTTCTAGAGCTTTTTTAAGCAGCAATAAATTTTTCCCTAGTCTGATAGGAAAGCATCAGATCCAAAGCAATTTTATACAATTTCTCTCATTTTCTGAAGAGAAGAAAATGTAAAATTTCTGCAACTAATCAGAAGACATACATGTCCAAAGTCCAGCTGCCTTTTTAAACCTGAAGTGCCTCAGATGGTCCAGGTTTTATCTGGGCTGCTCCAGCTCCATATTTCAGTGAATGAGAACAGAAACTATTTACCATACTTAGAAAGTGTCAGTCCTTCATTTCCTACTCAGCAGTAATTAACTGTACTGGGCATTAGTGCACATACAAGCTGTTCCTCAGTACTACTGTGCCAAATTCTAGCCTTTACAAGTGCCCAATACTGGAAAACATTACATCATGATTAGCAAAACAAGCAAGAACAAGTAACAAAAACTAATAAGGACCTCAACAGAAGAACAAAGAATAATATGATAAAATCACAGTCATTCGATTTGACACTCTATCAACCACTGCAATTATTTTTTAAAAATGATTTTTCACAAATTAGTGTTGTCTATGGAGACTGAAAGATTGCATGTCAGAGATTTTGACCTCTGTCAATTTTAATGTGATCCATTGCCTGTTTCTAACAGCAATGGGCACAGACGAGAGGTGGCAGCAGGGAGCTTGCGCAGGCACGAGGTAGAAACCTCCTGGTGTATAAAACTATCCCTGCCGACTGCAGCAGAAACAGGATGCAGCCAGCAATGAAGGTATCTGCAGACAGGCAGAAGACTATCCAAGCCCAGGGGTGTGTGGATAGGCAGACCTCTTTCCAGCTAGGTACAGCCTTGTTCAGTGACTACAGTGTTTTAAAGGATGCTGGAAAAATGAGCTATACAGAAGAATGATCAAAGTTTATTCAAGTTGTTAATATACGGCATGTTCATAAGAAATTTTATTTAGCTAGTATGTGTAGAGAACAGATGGGAGCATTCACGTGTTTAGTAAAAGTACTAGACAAAAACAAATACAGTTGATAGAGACTTTAAATTAAGAACTAGGAAATTTTCATAAACAACGTAATTATCAAGCTCTAAATACAACTAAAGCTTTTAGGGAAATCAGACAAAATCACCAGCTACAAAGATACTGTATTGCAAACATAATCCTTTATATTCCTATTAGAGGAAGTGATATATCCACATCCAGCTCTCACAAACATCATTACACTTGCCTTATGGGTGTCCTGGACAGAAGTTAATAAGCAATCATTACATTAAGGGAAAGCGCCAAGTAAATCTTCCACTTTGTGACAGGCTTGAAGGAAAACCCACAGAAAGATAAACTGAGAAGTACGCTGTGTTCTATGAGTGTCTGTACACAGGCTTGTTAGGCAAACTTACAAGTATCTGCCAGCTGTAAAATTTTAACGTCCTAATGTTGTAAAATTAAGAAAAAAATGGACACTTACAGCCACTATGTGTAGATTTGCTCTTCTTCCACAGAGCTTCGGAATTATTTTACTGAATACAGTTTTCTGAACATTTCTGATGCGTGCTGATTGCTTGAGTGTAAAAACTACCTCTGCATGTAACTCAT